TGCCCAGGAGGTACTTCTGTTATCCCCAAAGCACAGATGGGGAAAGTAAGGCCTGGGTGTGGATGTAAGCCTTGGATGGGGGTTCCCCGAGGAGTTGCTAGCCCAGCACTACTGGACCCTCACTGTGTTCCTGGCACATGGCAGGTGTCTCTCTGGATCTGTTGGGAAGGGGCCAGGACAGCTCGGATCGCTCCCTGCCTTGAGTATTGGCTGTATTTCCCCAAAGGGTTCTGTCTTCCACCTGTCTTCCTCACCTGGCCTGTCCCCTGGGAACCTCTTCACCCTCCAGCCTCAGGAGCCTGCCGGGGCTCTCCCCTCCCCTGGCTCTCTGCTCTTGGGAAGCAGGGACCAAGCAGCTATACTCCCAGTGCGGTGGCGCAGAAAACACGACTTGACTTAGGGCCAAGGCTCCTGAGGGCTGAGCAGTGTCCCCACGCTCGCTCCTGAGACACTCTGTCCCTTCGCCATTCAGAAGGCATCATTTCAGGGAAGGCCAGTGGCGGCTGGGTTTCAAGAAGCTGCAGCCAGAACAGCCCCGTCAGCTGCTGAGCAGGGCTGGTTGGAAGGGTGGGTGTTCTGACCGCGGCCTCCGCTGTGCCAGCCGGCCTCAGGCACCAGCATCTTGGGCCTGGGGGTGGGGAACAGGAACCATGGCTTCCCTCGCCCTCATTTTGAAGACCCAGGCCCCCGCTCTAGCCCCTTCCCCTTCCTAAGATCCCCCCTTATCTTCTCTTCCTCTGAGCTGCAGACAGATCTGTAATCTCTTCAGGACCTAGAGAGTCCCAGGGGATCGGAGCTTGGGGGGCAGGGGCGGGGGCCCAGGCAGTCCTCTGAAGCCCTCTTCCACCTTTGGAATGCAGAGCTCAGAGTCTGTCTGATGTGTGTGCCCCCAGACCCACCTTGCATCCCATCCCACCCAGATGCTGCTGCTGGTGGCCTGGGCACTTTCTAACCCTGCCTCGACCCAGGGGCAGATATGGGTTGGAGGTTACAGTTAGTTGTGGCACCTGGGCAGGGACTCGGGTGTCCTCCTGCCTGCCCAGACACTCCTAGGACACAACTTCTGGGCACCTCGGAAACAGCCAGCCGGGAGTGGTTTCTGGAAAGAAACTGCAAGGAGGCAGTTAAAGATCTTGTAGGAGATCAGAAATGGCTAATCCTGGATTAGCTGGGGGGATGGACCCAGGGTGTGGGGCAGAGACAAGGGCCCCACCCAAGGACAGAAGTGAGAGGGGGTGGGGTGGGGTGGGTGTGTTGGGGGCCGGGAATGGGTTTTCTCTGGATGGGGGGCGGGGAGGAGCTGAAGGCCAGGATTCGGTTTTCTCTGGGCAGGGAAGGGTTAAATCCTCCTGGGCCTCCCAGGCTCTGGCCACTCTCCCCTCCTGACCTTTCTCCTCTCCAGCCTCAGGCACAGCCGCAGAGCCACCCGTGCGCCCTGCCTCGTCCTCATGGCCTACCTGAGCCCCTCACAGCTCCAGAAGGTAGGGCCCTGCTGGGTGGGTACCCCGAGGGTCAGGTAAATGTGGGGGGCCCCTCCGGACTTGGAGTAGTCCCGGGGAACTCGACCCACCCCCTTACGTTTTTCAGAAGAGGAAACTGAATCCCAGAGTGGTCGGTTCACAGCCATGACCCCTAACTTCTGCAAACACAGCCAAGGGCCATTCAGGCCAACGCACCGCGGTTGGGGTGGGAATGTTTGCGTGAAGAAACCAGAAGAAAACACAGGATCCTGTGAACTGGGGGCGGGGGCGGGGGTCTGGGAAGAGGCGGGGCCGACGAGGGGCGGACCCACCCGCCCCACCCTACCCACAACCCACCTCTAGCGCGGGGCGGGTGGCCGGGCAACCACCCGGTGGGCGCGTTCAGACCCGAAAAGGCTAACCCGTGGGAATCAGCGCGACGGAGACTTTTAAAAAACATGACCCTTGTTGTTTGTTCCTGATGGCAAGAGGAAAATGCAAAAAAATACAGGAAAGCTCAAAAAAGAAAATTTAAACCCACCTATGGATTCCTATGCTGAGACAATATTTTGGCATACAGCCCTTGAATCTCTAAAAGTTTCAGGGGACTTCCCTGGCGGTCCAGTGGTTAGGACTACGCGCTTCCTCTGCAGAGGGCACGGGTTCAATCCCTGGTTGGGGAACTTAGATTCCACGAGCTGCGCTGGGGGGCCAAATACATAAAATAAAAGGTCCATCACAATACACAAAAGCTGTCGCCGATTGCTTGCCTGCTTGCTGTATGTTTCATAAAGGAGGCACTACTGTGCTCCCCATCTGATAGCCTGAGAGTCAGAGAGGGGAAAGCACTTGCCCAGGTTCTCACAAATTAGGATACTAATTTGTAGTTGGCTTTTTTTTTTTAAACTCACAATATGTGTGGAACACATTTTCATGCCAATAAATATTTTTCTATCAGCTGTGTTGTATTTCAGGTAGATAAACCGTACTTTGTGTGATAAGTTCACCTGTGTGCTGGTTTGTTTGATATCCATCTCCTTCCCTAGACTAAGTTCTGAGAGGCAAGCATCATGGCTGGCTTGCTCATGACTGAATCTCCAGCTCCTAAAACCATGTCTGGTGCACGGTACATGCTCAGCCAGTATTAGCTGAATAAATGAATGAGGTTGTATTCCCTGGAAGGTTAGGGCGGGGACACCTCCCCTTCTGCTTCCCCTTCCTTCATTCAAGCAGCCAACACTGATTGCTCTTCACTGGGCACTAGACACCATCGCCAGGGAGGGGGGCAGAGCAATGAACAGGATGCTTTGTCCTGCCTCCACACGGCTCATGGTTTGGGGAAGGGTCAAATCAGTTCTTGTCAAGAGCGTTTGAGGGCAGGGAGAAAGAAGCCTGAATCTCCTTCCTACCTGCAGTTTCAGGAGGATGGATTCCTGGTGCTGGAAGGATTCTGGTCTGCCGACGAGTGTGTGGCCATGCAACGGAGGATTGGCGAGATAGTGGCTGAGATGGATGTCCCTCTCCACTGTCGCACGGAATTTTCCACCCAGGAGGAGGAGCAGCTGAGAGCCCAGGTAGGTGCCTGGGGCAGGTAAGAATGAGGTTTGGTCTTTGATGGGTGGCTCAGTCCCCAGCCAGCGCAGCAGCCTGGAAAGGTTAGGACCCCAAGGCCCATGGGCTCATGCTGGTAACGAATCAGGCCCCAAGCTTTCTGTGGGCCGGGCTCCAGGCTAAGTGTCTTATATGCATATTTCCTTCACTCCCTACTACGCATTTATGAGGTCAGCATTATTGCCCCCATTAGACAGGTGGGGTAAATGAGGCTCAGCTCACTTGCCCCAAACTACACAATTAGTAACTGATAGGGTCAGAATCTGAACCCAGATCTGCCTGATACCAAGTGCATGCTGTCACTGCTCTGCTGTACTTTCTTAGAAGTTTTCCTGCCACAAAGGACCTCTTTGTGGCCAGCAACCCAGCATGAGCCAAGTGATTCTGATGGGCCCACCTGGGTAAGTCATCCCCCAATGAGACAAGGAACTGCTTGTTTCCCCCAGTGACCTACTAGGACTCAGTACAGCTTGAGATGGGTAAGTTGAGGCCCAGGGGTTCTCCCACACAGTTCTCTTAACCCTTCATAGGCTGAATTTATGAGCCTGCCTGCGTCTGGGCCCCCAAGCCAAAGCTGTGGTCCAGGCTCAGTAATGGGGCTCACGCTTACTCATGGCAAGGAGCTTCTGCCATCTGGTGGGCATAAAGGGAATTACAATGACTAGAAGGCTTGCAACCCAGAGAATGGGGACTTCAGACAGAAAAAGGGTTACAGAATGACTTTCCTCCAAACAGTTGGTTTCATTTGGCTGCACTGGTATTCAGTAAACCCTTAATATTCACTACTGATACTGTGAAAGACTTTGAAATGGGTTTTTAAAAAATTAATTAATTAATTTTTGGCTGCGTTGGGTCTTCGTTGCAGCGCGCAGGCTTTCTCTAGTTGCGGTGAGCAGGGACTACTCTTCGTTGAGGTGCACAGGCTTCTCATTGTGGTGGCTTCTCTTGTTGCGGAGCATGGGCTCTAGGCACCCGGGCTTCAGTAGTTGTGGCTCGCGGGCTCTAGAGCGCAGGCTCAGTAGTTGTGGCTCACGGGCTTAGTTGCTCCGCGGCATTTGGGATCTTCCCGGACCAGGGCTCGAACCCGTGTTCCCTGCATTGGCAGGCAGATTCTTAACCACTGCACCACCAGGGAAATCCCTAAAAAAGAAAAAAATATTGGCGGTGTCCTGTCTAGTAGTGCTCCGTTCCAGCTTACCAGCACCTTTCATTGTTTTTGAGTTATTATACAACTCTGTAAGTTACATAGAACTGATAATAACTCACATGATACTCGTCCATAGCAATGGGTATGAACTGGACCCGGCAGGATGCAGTTATTGCCGTTGTGGATAGATTCAGTTTTGCATTGATTTGTAAATTCATTTCAGCGTTTCTTATTGCCTATATTTGTGTGTTTCTCGGAATTCTCCTTTCAACATGTTTCTGGTTCCCTTGTGAATTACTGAGTTAAGTAAGAATCTTTGACACGCGTGTAGCATCACCGTCTTTCTTGTTATTATCAGTTATGCTTCCCAGACTTGTTTCCCTGCTAGTGCAGAGGAGTTAAGAATGTTGAATAAAAACTTTTAGTTTTCAGTGGGAAGGGCGTGGAAAGGGCCAGACAGGTCACTGAGTTGAGCCACGCAAGGCACTGTGACAGCAGATGTGTGCAATTGAGGGAGTGCTGGGGCTGTGCCATATGGGAACCCAGGTAGGGGCATCGGTGACACTCAAACTGTACTTACGTCACCATGAAGGAAGATATATATGGTGATCATAGGTGGCTAAAGCCACAAGGAAATCATGGGGCATCTCCCTGGAGCATCATTTTCTTCTTTTTTAAAAATTAAATATTTATTTATTTATGTGTTTGGCTGCATCGGTCTTAGTTGTGGCACTCGAGCTCTAGAGCATGCGGGCTTAGTTGCCCTGCAGCATGTGGGATCTTAGTTCCCCAACCAGGGATCGAGCCCGCGTCCCCTGCACTGGAAGGTGGATTCTCAACCACTGGACCACCAGGAAAGTCCCTGGAGCATCATTTTCATATGCTGCTAAGAAATTTAAAACATGATATTAAAATTAACAAGAACGGAGTTCTCTGGTGGCCTAGTGGTTAGGATTCGGCACTGTCATTGCTGCGGCCCGGGTTTGATCCCTGGTCGGGGAACTGAGATCCCAGAAGCCACAGGGTGTGGTCAAAAAAAAAAAAAAAATCAATAAAATTAACAAGGAGAGGTTATTAAGATAAAAGAACAGGATTAGTAATAGCTTATGTTTATCAAGCATTTAGCCATGTCCTTGCTGGGTGTTTTCTATTTAGCAGCAGTAATAATAATAATAATAATAAAGGCAGATATTCACATGACACCACATTCCAAGGACTGTTCTTATATGCCTTATATATACTGATTCATAATCCCTACAACACCCTATGAGATAGGTGCCATTAATAGCCTCTATATTTTATGAGGAAACTAAGCCTGGAGAGGTTCAGTAATGTGGTTGTGATTACAGTCAGTTAGTGGCAGAGCTGGGATTTGAACCCAAGTATTCTAGCTCCAGGGTCTGTGTTCTCAACTTCTATAAGATTCAGCCTCTACCTGAACCTGAAGCCTCCAACAATCCAGGGAGGTCAGTTCTATTATTATTCCCCTTTTACAGATGAGGAAACTGAGGCTTTGAGAGGTAAAACAAGTGGCCCAAGGCTCTCTGGGAACCAGGCGTGTTTGACCTAGTACCTGTGTTTCATGCCATTATGGAGTCTGAGTCATGTGATTTATTTAGAGGTTTCTTAAGAAATTCCATGCTTGTAGCTTCCAGCTGTGCTTCCAGGTCCTTGGGGTTTCTCAGAGGCGTCTGCAGCTCTGTGGGGTGGGAAGCATCTGAATCCTCTTCCTTCTCTGCCAGGCCCACCTGGGACCCCCTGATGCTCTCTCAGCCCCTCTGTTGTCCCCTCTCCACAGGGCAGCACAGACTATTTCTTGAGCAGCGGCGACAAGATTCGGTTCTTCTTTGAGAAAGGCGTCTTTGATGAGAAAGGTTTGGAACTGGGGCCCTAGAGGCGGGGGTGGCTGGACTCCAGTCCTTCCAGCCTGATCTGTCCCTTGTGCCACAGGAAATTTCCTGTTCCCTCCGGAGAAATCCATCAACAAAATTGGCCATGGTAAGCAGGGGCTGGAGAGAAACTGAGGTCTGAAGAGTTTGGGGGCCATCCCCCAAAGCACACGTTAAGGTAGTAGCCCAACAAATGGCATTTCTGGGTGCAGGGTCCTTCTTGGGCCCTGCTCTCCTGCATCTTATGATGCTAATCACATGACACTGCCACTGTATCACTGGGAAGAGGGGTCCATTTGAGCCCACCCCCCCGTGCAGATGGGTGTGTGCAGGCTCCTCAACTCTCTACTGCCGGGCCTGCGTATGATTCAGGCCCCAGGCATGTGGGGATTCTGGGTCCCATTGCTCCCTGAAGGCTTCTTAAGGAACACCAAACATGTTGACAAGGTCCCTGTTCCAAGACCCCTAAACCAAGCTAGGAAACCCTCTTTTTTTCCTTTTTTTTTTTTTTTTTCAGGATCGTGCATTATAGTTATTTTGTAGGGAGTTCCCTGGCGGTCCAATGGTTAAGACTCCGTGCTCTCACTGCCGAGGGCCTGAGTTCGATCCCTGGTCAGGAAACTAAAATCCCACAAGGCGCGTGATGTGGCAAGAAAAACAAAAACAAAAACAACCCTTATAATTTATCTTGTAGACTGATTTTTAAACATGAAGTTATATCATGGTAGCTTTGTTTTTTTTTTACAAATTGTGGTAAAATACATATAATAGAAAATTTACCATCGTAACCATTTTGAAGTACACAATTCAGTGGCATTAAATACGTTCAACCCTCACTTTTTGTAATAACAACAGTAGTGAATAATGAGAAGAGGGACTGTTCTGTGCCTGGTCCTGGGCTGTGCTCGCGCACGCGTTAGCCCATGGAGTCCTATGGCAGCCCGGGAGGCAGGGCTGATCCCATTGTACACACGAGGAAACTAAGGCTTAAAGGAGAGGAATCGGTGCAGAGCAAGCGGCAGTACCAAAATTGCTACCAAGTGATGGGTCCCTTGGAGTCCTTGGTCCTCTGAAGGGTGGCCAGTCAGGGCTAGAAGGTCAAGAATAAGGTCATAGGTCAGGTGAAGGCATCTGTGGGGCCCATTTCTCAGTTATAAGCAAGCAGAAAGCTTAATGCACAGAAAATAGGTGAGAATATCAAAGTGAGGCCTGACCCTGGGTGCCCAGGCCTAGGCGTGGGAGGGATGCATGGGGACTGGGGACTGGCTCTTCAGCCCACCTCTGTCCCGCAGCTCTGCACGCCCATGACCCTGTCTTCAGGTGTGTCACACACTCCCCCAAGGTGCAGGTGAGCAGAGGTGTCGGTGAGGGTGGGCCGGTGGGCCATATGTGAGTGTGGGCAGGCTGGCCATGTGACCTCTGCCCCCTTCCAGGCTTTGGCCAGAAGTCTGGGCCTCCGGATGCCCGTGGTGGTGCAGAGCATGTATATCTTTAAGGTGAGCTCCCCCTCCTCCCCAGGCCTCCATTTACCCTCTGTAAAATGGGCACAGTGCTCATACCAAGCCCTTCCTTACAAGGGCCGCAAGCTGCCTCCCCGAGGAAGTATTATTAAGTTGGCGGGAGAACGTGAAAACCGGGTCTCCTCTGGTTAGGGCGTCTGGCACTTAGTTGGGGCTCAGTTAGGGTGCCGTGGAAGGAAAGGGGATCCTGGGGCTGCCTCCTCCCTTTGTTGGCTATTGAAATGCTCTGCTCCCAGCTTTCAAGGCCCAGCCCAGTGCCACCTCCTCCAGGAAGCCTTCCAACGCCCTTGGGAAGAGAGGACACATCCCTGATCCTGGAGCCCAGAGGCTTAATCGCTGGCCTGGGCCCCAGCCTCTCCCACTGCCCCTCACTTCTGCCTTGTGTTCTCGTTAGGGACGTGTGTGCTCAGACTGGGAGCTCCCTGCCAGACAGGGTGGCTTTTCTCTTTGCAGCCCTCCTGGGCCTGGCACATAGTAGGTGCTCGATAGCTGGGTGCTGACGTGGAAGCCTTGCAGATAAACACCTGTGGCGGGGGGAAGAGCATCCTACTCGGAGGACTCAGGGCAGCCCCTGCCCCTCCCCGCTCTCCCTGGCCTCACCCGGCCCCTCCTCTCTCCTGCAGCAACCTCACTTGGGCGGCGAAGGTGAGCCAAGAGCAGGCTGGGGGCCAGCAAAGGCCCCGGCGGGAGATCTGGGACTTTAGTGGTTGTCAGGTCTCCAGAGGGAGGGAAGGCGCCTGCCAAGACGTCCAAAGACAAGAGCCTGGGCCAGCGGAGAAGCCATCTTCTGCTGCTTCCTGAAAGACTGGATGCCGGGGGGTGGGGTGGGGTGGGAGGGTGGAGGGGGGTGTCCTGGAGCCCTTGACCCAGTGGTTCCCGAACCTGGCAGCGACTCCTTGCTGGTTAAAAATACAGATTCCTGGGCCCCTTTCCCTGAGATCTTGAGTCAGGAGGGTGGCAAGGTCCTGGGAATCTGTATTTTACCAAGTTCCCTGGAGGACTGATTCAGCATAGAAACTGCTGATCTGACTACAAAGCCCCTGGATACCCAGATACCCTTTCCAGCCTCCCTCATGGGTGATGATCCACTTCTCTCAAATACCTCCAGTGACACAGGGCTCACCACCCGTACAGGCAGCTCTTCCTTTCCTGACATGAGCTCAAGTCATTCCCCTTGTGAGGCCCCCTCCTCCCCACCATCCAGCCTGAGGACAGTCTCCTGAAGGGATGGCCATCCTCTCCCTGAGCCTTCTCTGCTCAGTCCAGCACCCCCAGCTCCTTCAGCCATTACTCCTCCAAATGTTTTGAGGCCCCCACCATTAGGACACCTTCATCTGGACACTGTCTGGATTGTCAAAGTCTGACTTAAACTTTGGTGCTCAGAAAGCACACAGTTCCCCAGGAAGGGATGAGGCGAGACTAGCACCCTCTTGTTGTTACAGACTAAGGTCCTCTGTTCAGCGGTTCTCCACCCTGCCTGGGCCCCAGCATCACACAGGGGATGTTTACAATGTGGATGCTGGGTCCATTTCCTGCTTCACACCCAACTTCCAAGTCTTAGCCCACTGGTGGCTTACACTGGACCATCTGGTGGCTGGAGGTGCTCTCGCTGGTTAAGGACGGCAGCTTGAGTTACCTGGCTGGAATTAAACGATAGCAGCTGCTTTTCAGGCAGCGACTACAACGTCAGGCCGTGGACTAAGCACTTTTCCTACACTGTCTCAGAATCCTCCAGCAACCTCGTGAGGTTAGGTTATCGTTGGGGCTGCTTTATGGTTTAGGAAATTGAAGCTTGAGAGGTGAAATCTCTTGCCCAGAGTCTCCAGGCCAGGAAGCGATGAGATTCTAACTACTCATGGGAAGGCTGGGCCTGGAGGGCCCTGGGAGGACCACAGAGTGAGTAGAAACGAGGCCAAGGTGGGGTGAGGCCAGGCGCCTGATGCCCAGACGGGCCTGCTGCAGTCTCCCCTCACCAGGACGCCTCCTTCCTGTATACGGAGCCTCTGGGCCGGGTGCTGGGCATGTGGATTGCTCTGGAAGATGCCACGCTGGAGAATGGCTGCCTCTGGTTCATCCCTGGCTCCCACACAGGTGAGGCCACCTGCCTCTCCCTGCCCACTCGTCCCCACCCCCCACAGGGGAGGGACCCCGAATAAAGAGAGGCTTAAGTCCCCACCTCGGCCCGCAGGTGGAGTGTCGAGAAGGATGGTCCGGGCCCCTGCTGGCTCGGCGCCTGGCACCAGCTTCCTTGGGACCGAGCCAGCCCGGGATAACAGGCTCTTTGTGCCCACACCGGTGCGGAGAGGTAGGGGGTGTGCAGAGGGGCCCCGAGGCCATGCCTGGGGGTCTGTGCTTGCTCTGACCAGCCAGCTCACCTGAGGGCTGGGAAGTCACCGCATGAGGGAAGGTAGGGCTGGGTGGAGACTGGGAGGTCTGAAAGCTGTGTGGTTGACAGCAGGGTCTCCCAGATCAGGCTGGAATCCAGACCCTGCTACTTCCCGGCTGTCTCCGTGAGCAAATGACTGAACCTCTCTGAGCCTCAGTTTCCCCAAACATAAAGTAGGGAAGCCAGTGAGATGTCATATGTAAGATGGTGCACCACAAGTGCTCACAAATCCTGGCTGTCAGCACACCCTTCCTTTTAGAAAAGGGAAACTGAGCCCCAACTCTGCATTCCCGGCTTAGGCCCCAGCTGGCTGGCACGGGACAGAGAGCTTCTGTCTGGTTCTGCAAATGCCATGGAGGTGGATGCCCCTGCTGAGGCTTGCCAAGGGCACGGGCCACAGCGGAAGGGACTTGACCCCAGGGGAACCCATGTCCAACAGCACAGCCTCCAATGCTGGGGCAGACTCCAAGCCCCTGAGCGTCTGGGGATGGGAATGGGGATGAATAGCCCACGACACCGCTTAAGGGAGCGGCCGCCCACCATGTCCCTTCCTGCCTCGAGTGCGCTTTTGACTCGCTGTGTCCCTGCCAGGGGCCCTTGTCCTAATCCACGGAGAAGTGGTGCACAAAAGTGAGCAGAATTTCTCCGACTGCTCACGCCAGGCCTATACTTTCCACCTCATGGAGGCTGCTGGCACGGTCTGGAGCCCAGATAACTGGTAGGTGGCAGGGTGTGTGTGGGCCCCAGACAGCTCCCGAAGAGGTCCTGGAGGCTGGGAGCAGTGCTACTAGCACCTCGAGGTCCTCTCCCCATCCTCTGCAGGCTCCAGCCGACAGCTGAGCTGCCCTTTCCCCCACTGTACACCTAAAGGCCCTCTGAGGGCAGGGACGCCACCCCCTCTCGGGAGAAGCTGTGGGCCACCAACGCCAGCGCCTCAACCCACCGCCCAGCTGCAACGGGGAATTCGCATCTCTCCTCCAGGGCTTTCCTTCTGCTGGTGTTTGTGCAGACAGGCAGGCAGGAGCAGAAGGCTGGGCTGGGTGCCTTCCCCGAGATCTGTCTCTGTCTGTCCCGACCCCAACACAACCTCCCCCTAGAGGCAGCCTCACGGCCATGAAAGGGTTCTGGCTGCCTCTCTGCCGGCTTCTCACTTGTCGTCTCCCCTCTCACATGGAACTCTTGGTCATTACGGTGGGAGACACTGAATAAAAAACACTTCCAAATGCAGCATCTTGATCCTTCTTTCCCAAGCAGCCTTCCTCTCAAGATGGGAACCCTGCTGAAAATCATCGCAGGTAGCCCAGCCCTGCCCGGTGAGGTATGCACGGTGTTAATAACAGTAAGTGACATTTAGTGGGCATTCATGGTGCCAAGAGCTTTCTGTGCTTTATCACTGGATCCTCACCCCTTTCAGGTAGGTGCTGTTTACAGATGAGGGAGCTGACACATGGGAAGGTTAAGTGACCTGCCCAAGTCCCACGGCTCTTCAGGCATTTGGCGAGGTCAGCCGGATCCGGAGCCTGTGCTTCTAACCTCTATGCTCCGAGTTCTCCTTTCCTGGGGAGGGAAAAGACCAGAGCCTGGAATCTAGTCTGACATTCTGGTCCTGGCTCTGTGACCAACTCGATTTCCGGCCTCAGGCCAGGCCCTTCTCTCTGGGCCCATTTGGCCACCTGCACCATCAAGGGGCTGGACGAGGGCCTCCACAGGTCACTCCTGTTTGGACATGCTTGGCAGGCACCCAGAGCTGCAGGAACAACTACCAAACCTGCCTGGCGGGGGTCTGCTCAGAGGTTGCAAACTGGGGGCCACCAGCCGATTTCACAATGCAGAATTGTTTTGTCTGGGCCTCGGCATTTTAAAACAAACGAACAAAAAACCCACATTTTAAAATTGGGAGATTTCACGTAACAATTCAGGTTTCCAAGCTTCTTTGAATGAGCAGGTCAACAGCCCGGGGGCCTGTGGTCTAGCCTATGTACCACTGGCTGGAGCTGCCTTCTTACAGGCACACGTGCTCTCCGTTTCCCTTCCCTGTCCTCCTTCATTGCATTACCTGCCTGGCCTCAGCGGCCTTATGATTTTATGACCTTGACTTCCAACCCCCACCCTGTATGGGAACAAACCACCCAGGGAGTCAGTGGGGCAAAGCCAGCACTCATATACACTACACCCTAACATGGCGTTGCCTCCTTCAGCGAGCAGTCGCGGGGAGCCTGAGCCAAGGGAAGGGTTTGTTAAGGCTCCTTTGAGCCCAAAACCAATGTCGTAATACTCTCCGAGTGAAAGGGCTTGGCAGTGATGCTCAGGCAGAAGCAAGCTCCCAGAGCTGGGCTCCTGGCTTCCGGCCTTGGTGGGCCCAAGTTCTCACCTCTTCCTGCCTAGGCCCCTCCCTGTCAGGCTGGTGGCAAGTGGGGAGAACCCGGTCCAGCCTTGAGAAACCTGCTGTGCTCTCTTCTCACTGATGGGAAACGTTCATCCATTCAGCGAAGGTCTGCCAAGTTCCTGCTGTGTGCCAGGCTGTGCTGGCACTGGGGGATGCGGTGGGGAACCAGGGAGAGCTGGACTCTGCCCTCACAGAGAGCAAGGATGGGGCGTGCACTGCCCCCCTCCCCCCGCCCCAGAAGAGCGATCCTGAACTCTCAGTAAACTTCACCAGACCTTGCCTCTAATTTCTCGCCAAGAGAAGAGACCAACACAGGTGTGGACGTGACTGGAGGGTGAGAGGTCTCAGGAGGGACCCCCTGACAAGGACCCTGTGCTGTCCAGCCTGTCCTTCATCAGCACCACTCGGCCAGGCAGCAGAGGCCTTGAGGCAGGGTGGGGTTGGCTGAAACAGGCCCAGGATGGATCCTCTTCCTCCAGCCCTTCAAGGGACGCAACAAACAGATCCCATCTCTCCCCTTCAGCTCTTCCTAGCCCAAATGGGAGAAACCACATGCACTTGGCTATTTTCCTCTCGTAGTCTCCTCTGAATGAAGCCAGGGGAGTAGGGTCACTCTGGTCTCCAAGTACAACCCACATAACCCTTTGGTTTGCCTGGCTTTTTGCTGAGATGAGGACTGGCCTTGGGTAACAATGACACTTTCCCTCACTTACGTGACACCTCCGCACTTAAGGGCAGGCTCTGGGCTGGTCACCTCACACACGTCACTTCGCCAGAACCTCACGACACCCCGTGAGGTGCAGGCTCTTATTATTCCCATCTTGCAGACGTGAGAATTGAGGCCCAGGGTGATTAAGCAACTCACACCGTTAAGAAGTGGTTCAGCCAAGGATTCTGAGCAGATGAGTCTGACACCAGAACCTGAAGTGTTAACCACTCTGCCCTACGGCCTCGTGTCCACTCTGGCCCCCCCGAGGACTGCAAGGTGAGGGGGGCCCTATGGCGCACTCAAGCTCTTTGAGCTGTTGCACTATCGGTTAAGCCTTTTTGCTTTTTAAAATATCAGGAAAACTAAACCCGGGAGTGCTTTGATTTTTATTTTAAATCTCAATCAACTGAAAAATTAAATCTGCTTCTCCCCTCCTGGCTCTTCAAGCCCAAGTGGCTGGCTGCCGTGGGGACCATTTGTCTTCCCCATGTCCCTGTTTCCTTCATCGCTGCTGCACAGCACCTAGGCCATCAGCAATATCAGGAGGTAGAGAGGCAAAAGGAGATTGTCTATCTGCGTAGTGTATGCTTCTAGGAGGGACACGGTGCTGATGGACCCCAAAATCCAAGCATAACTGTAGTTTAAGTCCACTCCACTGTCGAAGATTAAGATCAGAGCTACAGAAATGATCTGGGCAAATATAGATGTCATGGTCCCCTCAAAAGTCTTTTTAGTTCCAGGCCAGCGGATCTCCCCCATGGTGCTGCCGAATATGGAGGCCACAGTGTCGCCCACACCAACGGCCAGGACTCCTGCATAGGGGACTAGGGCCCTGGCTCCCCCTAGGCTACCCTTCTGTGTGCAGGGTCTGGGGACTAACCAAATGGGAAGAGACATGCCTAGGAGCAGGTAGATGTGGGTCAGGATGAGCGGTCCACTGTCTCGTTCGTCCAGGAAGAGGGACAGGAGGCTTCGCAGAGTGTGGCCCAGGGGCTTGATGCGGAAGTAGCGCACATACTCTAGGAAGACGAAGACCGCCAGACATACGGTGGCGGCCACGTAGAGCAGTGGCCGGTCCAAGATGATACCTGGGATGTAGGTGGCTACCACAATGAAGTGGAAATACTTCCGAGCAATGGTGGGGGCCTGGTGCTTCTTGGACTCGGAAGATGACCGCTTGGCATTCTGGTATAGCACCACCAGGCAAGCTAAGGTGGCCAGCAGAGACCAGTAGGCTAGGAGGTAGACTCGGGTCTCTGTCTGGAAGAGGAATTGAAAAAGCCACAGCAGGGGGTTCCTGCGGATGAGCCGGTGCAGCCAGGGCAGGACCACGCCGAGGCCCAGTACACAGGTCATGAGGTGGAAGAAGATGGAAGAGGCCCAGGTGCCTGAGTCCATGAAAACAAAGAGGGTGCTGAAGAAGATGCCCATAAGCACCATCCCTACCACCACTACCAGCAGGAAGAAGTCCAAGGGGTCCCCCTGGCTTTCCACCACAGTCAGAGAGCGCTTGATGAGCTGGTTGAGCACGAAGCTGATGCCACCCAGTACCAGCAGAGCCTCTCCAGGGGTGAAGCAGCGGGGCAGCAGATACAGCAGGATCATGTTGAGGTAGACAAAGATCAACAGGACCTCCAGGACCTCGATCACCTCGCCTACACTCAGCGAGTGCTTCAGGATATAAATGATGACACCTCCAGCCAAGCCCGAGATGACACAGGTGTTGGTGGGCACTGGGCGAGTGATGCCCAGTGCCAGTACCGATGAGAAGAGGGCCACTGCCATGCCAGTGGCCGCCACCACAATTCCAAACCGCTCGAAGTATGGGTTCCCCGCAGCCTGGCAGCGCTCCTTCATAACCAGCCCGAGCAAAGGCATGACCACCGAGGCGGGCAGTAGGCCACTGTTTGCGGACATTCGAAACTGGAAGACAGCGCTGCCCTGCTGTAGCAGCCGGTCCCACTTGTATTGGACATAGAAGGCCTGCACCGCGAGGGCCACGGCGCACCACGAGTATCGATCCCACACGGCCGCGTGGATGCTCAGCACCACTACGAACACCACTGCCGCCTCTGCCAGCACCGAACCGCTCAGCGGAGCCCCAGGCTCAGGGGCCGGGGAAGCGCACTCTCGGGTCATGTCTTCAGACCTGAGACTCCGGGTAAACTGGGGTGACTAGGAACGCCCTGGACTCTGGGCCCTTTAATCCCCGCCAGGCAGAGAGCGGTAGCTTCGCCCAGCCAGCACCTTCTCAATCCGTTCTCCAGCTGCGAGAAGGGAAGCTCTACTGTAGGCCACTCTCTGACGCCTGGGAGCTGGCGTCGGGCTACCCTCCACCGCCTCACACCTATGGCGTAGACGTCGACCCTCGGCCACCTCCCTCACAGCCTCGGCCGCCCTAGCCCGGAGTTCCTCACCTCTCTGGGAATCGCCATGTTGGCCCCGCCCCGGCGTCACGTGACGAAAAGCCCCGTCCACGCCCTGGAGGCGAGTGATCACGTGGGCGTGGCGTCTGGGGGCGGGGTTGGAGCGCGCGCGCGCGCGAAGATGGCGGCGGCCGCCGGCGATCCGTGTGTGAGGTGCGGAGCGGGCCGAGTCGGCGGGCGTGACTGTGAGGCGCGGGGTCGAAGCCGAGCGGAAGCGGGGCGGGAATTGGGGGTTAGATGTGGCAGCAGTGGCTGGGCGAAGGCCGGCTAGGTGGACGGGCTCCGGGACGGGAGGCGGTTACAGCCAAACGGTCCCCGCGCGCGGGGGTCTGAGGTGACTTCTCCAAGAGGGGGCCGGTGCCTCACCACTTCCCTGGACTCCGGCCTCCTGTCTCCCTACCCGGTCCCTTTCCCTTCCTCCCCTCTCCCCTCGGCGAGTCCCTCGGCGCCCCCCTCCCCCCCACCTCGCTTCCTGTGTGGCGTGACGCTCCCTCGAGGCGAGACTCGGCGCTTCGCGGTCGCCCGGGGGAGCCCCTACCCGGGCCCCGCTGCAGCCTCCTGTGCCCGGCCCGGCGGCGCTCCCCAGGTTACCCCCTGTGCTCTCGTTGGGATGTCTGTTTCGGGCGTCGCCGAGCCACCTCCTGGCCGTTTCAGCCCTCTTTCGTCGCTCAGCCTTTCATTCATCCCATCCGTCTAGTCGTTTTCTCATGCATCGATTCCGTCAGCGGACATCCCAGGCGCTGTACTGGGTTTTGGGGACGGGAAGAGAAAATATTAAAAAAGAAAAAGACA